AATTAACAGATACCTTAGGAGCTAGAATAAAATTCTTGCAACGATGGTTTATGGAACTATGTGAAAAAACATAAAGAAAAGAAATAAAAATGAAAAAAATATTAGTAAAAAACTTGGCATGTTGCAAAAATAAAACAGCACCTCAATTTGGTTGTACGAATAGGTATTATAAAAATAGAAAGAAATATAATAAAAAATATATATCAAAATATAAATATAAAAAACCAAGAAGAAGGTACTTTGTAAAAAACTACAAAACCAAAAGACCATATAGACCAAAAAGAAAACTAACGGAATGTACTTGTTATAATTGTGAAAAATTAGGACACATAGCTAGAGATTATAAATTACCTAAAAATCCAAAGAAAAAACAAATATCAGAAATAATAATAGACGATGAAATCTAAGAAGAACATTAGAATGAATTTTATTGTTAAAATATCCACTCTACTTTAGGCTTAATAATTATTATACTTGTGTATAATTAATATTTAATCTCACTAAAAATCAATAATGTCTTTTTTTATTTTACTTTCTTATTTGAAAGATACAAAACATTAAAAATTATATGACGTGTTATTTAGTCATAGAAAAATAATATCATAAGTGTAATCAATTTTGAATTGATGTTATTTTTATATTGAATAGTGTATTATTTAATAAGTCAAGCACTAATTATAAGTAGAGAAAAATTCTATTATATATATTATTAATATGAAGTTTACTTACCCCCTAATTGATAGAATTATATGAAATGAAAAATAAATATTTTTTACTTGTATATCCAATTGATATATATTATTTTTACAAGCATTAAAAATAATATAATTTATCTATAGTAAGTTAGTAAATGTTATTTGTTTACAAATATATAATTAAGTATGTTAAAATATAATTATTAAAAGATAAATTAATAATATAAATACCACAATACCTAATAAGATATACTAACGATTATTATTCATAACTTTCTTGCTTTTTAAACTTATAAATATATTTATCTTTTCAATTTTTTATTAATAAGAACCTTGTATGTATAATTTAAATTTTGTCTACATTTAATATGCTTAGTCATGAATATCATCTTATACAAAGTGTAAGCATAAAATTTTCACGATATGTTGGATAGTAGTGATTTATTTTAAATATATAATTAGTTGTTGTGTTTCATTTTTTAAGAGTTAAATTACATGAATTTTAGAGAATGTTTTAATATATATATATAGACCATATTAATATGAGATGAATTTATAGTACTTTTTATATCATTTATGAATATCTAATATAATTTAGTGTAATGCCAGTGGTACTTTTGTAATGCCATGACCAATAGGATTGATAGAATCTACTTTCAAAGAGAAATTACATTACTTCTTGGGAGTCGGGGCAGGGATTAAGTTAAAGTAATGGCACAGAGGGTGGGGGATTATGTTAAAGCGATTGTAATGGGCGCGGTGGTGGTGTTAAATACTAAGTAGTAAATTATAAGGAAAAATGCTATATAATAGCAAACTATTAATTCAAATTAAATATTATAAACATAGTTGAATTTAATTGTACCTTATAGAAAAGTATTGCTATTTCGCTTCTCTTCCTGGTGGAAGGGGTGGTGGTGTTAAATACTAAGTAGTAAATTATAAGGGAAAATGCTATATAATAGCAAACTATTAATTCAAATTAAATGTTATACACATAGTTTGATTTTAATGTACCTTATAGCAAACTGTTGTTATTTTCGCCTCTCTCTCTGGTGGAATCTCACTCTTATACAAACACAAATGTATAAAATGTGTTTGTGTTTGTCTAAAGAGAGATAAAATTATATATATACATATATTTTCGTTCCCCCCTCCCAGATCTCGCTCGCCACTCTCAGATCTCGGTCGCTACTCTCACTCGCCTCTCTCACTTTATACAAACACTAATGTTATACATTGCGTTTGTGTTTGTATAAAGCGAGAGAAAATTGTACAAAATGCATATATTTTCGTCTTATACACTAATGATTATACAAATATAATCTTCCCCTGCCCATATTTTTTTGTCTTTCTCTCTTTCTCGCTCTATACAAACACAAATTATACAATTGATCTTTTGTATATGTATACCGAAACATATTATACAACTGCTTTCTTTGTATATGTATAGCGAAATATACATATTTATGTTTGCCATGAAGCGCAATTATGCAAACTATAGCTATATAGCATACAAATATGATTTTTATGTTAGCTATACGTGAAAATTGCTCAAATTATAATGGAGTGAGTGTGATCAAAATAATTGGGGTGGTGGTGTTAAACACTAAATAGTAAATTATAATGGGGTGAGTGTGATCAAAATAATTAAATATTATTTACAAGAAATTATTTTAAATTTATTAGAATGTTTTCATGCAGCTTTATTTACGAAAAAATTCGCAAGAGAATTCCTTTTTTTTGTTAATTTTTACCAATTTTTTCATGATATTTTTAGTATTTTTTGCTAGAAAATTCGCAAGTAATTTACATGCGAAATTTAAATTCCTAGGTAAATTACTTGCGGATTTTAAAATTCGCAAGAAATAATTAACTACGAAGGTTTTACCTTCGAATTCTTTTTGGTAGGAAAATCTGCAGAAAACTTAATTTCCTGCAAATTTTCCTATGATATCCCTAGGAAAAATCCCCATGTAATCCATACTTTTCTTGTAGTGAGCTTAACTCAATAAATGTTTGAAAGCACCTATAACATGAGTAATTAACTCAAAGTGTCAAAGGAACATTAACAAGGGAAAACAAGGAAAGACTCTTCAGCTACTACTATCTATGAAGCCTCAAAATACTACGATAGATGTTGGGACAAGACCCACAACATCTTAACAAAGCAAAATGTAAATGTTGAACTATCTGGAAAGCAAGGAGGCCCACCAAAGCTAGCTGGAATGCAAATGGTATCAACGGAGCGCCTGTAGATTATCTTGAACACCTGCATGTGCATTATAAAATGATGCAAGATGAATGACGTCAGTACATTGAATGTACGAGTATGTAAGGGGAAAGCCGAAACATAAGCAACGAAATTGATACTCTGGGAAGACATACTCACCTCATCTCAACTCAAATGTGAAAGCAACAATAAGAGATGCAATAAATAAAGCTTTTAAAACAGTAGATATCAACTCAGTATGTATGAAAATACAATAACATACTATTTTACTCTTATTTGGAAGATTCTCTAACTGACAACCATTACTATGAGCTACGTGATGATACAACGTCTCACCCATGCTGCCAAAACTGTCCTTTATCCTTCTGGGGTATAGAACACCTCAACTAAGTGGATCTACTAAGATTTGCTTAAAAGCAATAAGGAATCATCTAAAAAATATGATCATTTACTCATGTTGGCATACATGGTTTATGAGGATTTTGAGTTGTCTGAACTCATCCATATATCGGGGCTCAATACTACTCCCAATAATATATATAATTCATTCTCAAATGTTTAAAAACATAACTCTTTCTCAATTATGTTAATTACTCTAAAGATCCTCTTAAAGGAGGTTATACTCTGAAATGAAACTCCTCTGCACTTGTAAACTCATTTAGACATTGGTGTTTCACTCTTTTAAAAATGTATAAGTATTACATACTTGGGAATACTTTATTCCCTTATATTCATTTTGAAATATGAAACTCAACTCTCCTGATTCTCATACTCATTTACTCAAGTCTTAAAACAAGTTATAGATAATTGCAAAAGACTTCTAAAAAATGACTCAAAAGAACGCCTTGAACTTTCCTCTTAACTTTACCTTGATTTGAAATATGAATATAAGAGTTATGATTAGGATATATAAGATATCTCAATTATTTATGAAGGTTTAGATAGTTAGTAGTAAGAAGAGAGCGAAGACACGATTTGAAAGAATGCATACGGGACAAAGAACGAATAAGAAAGGGGACTGACGGCCCAAGCGTATCAATGACGCACCGTGACATCCCCAAAAGTATTGGGGCTACTTTGAGTTGCACTGAAGGCGTAGGGTACCCACCCCCTGGTGCTATAGGGGAGCGTTGCCCCAGCCCTGAGCCAAGAAAATATGATGAATTTCCTTCTCCATTTTTTGTCCTAACTCGTCTAGAATCGAGTGATTTCTTTCAAACTCCCTTTGATTCGTAAACCCAACACAACTAACCAAAAAACCACTCAAATTCTATCAAGAAACAACACTCATTCGCAAAATCCTCACCTCAAGACTCAAAAACCTCCATAGCTAAAAACTGGGGTTAAAACACAAGAACATCTAAAGAAACTCCATCAATCAACGTCAAGAAAGAATTCATGGATGAAATTACATGATTGAAATGAGGGAGAAAAAACCCAACACTATGAGAGCTTACATACCTCGAAGAACACTTGTTCTTGGCGAAAATTCTCTACCCTTGAATGAACGCTTGAAATCCTTCTCCTTTCTCCTCTTTAACTTATTCTAAAATCCCTAAATGCTTTTGGAATATCTAAATTAACTTAGCGTCTGATTAGACTCCTAAATTGGGTGAGTAAAACGAAGCTAATTTGAGTGGGATAAGGAAAAGACCAAAATACCCTTTCCTTAAATGGATGGAAAACCTTAACCGGAGAAGCTTCACTCAAATGACCATAACTTTTTACTCAGAGCTCAAAATTTAGCAAACTTGGCGGCGTTGGAAGAAGGACTCAAAGACCTTCGATTTGATACCTCACGGGCCACCTAACTCTTTGTGTGCTGAAAGTTATGGCCGTTTAAAGTTGACCCAAAACTAAAAAACTGAAGTTTAACTTGTACGAATCTCTAGTTGGCATTCCTAAGTATGAGATGTTACAATATCTCCCCCTTGAGAACATTCATCCTCAAATGAGATCATACTCAGCCAAAGGGAATGTGAAGCATCTAGTAACTCCAACTCAAGTACACCACATGCAATTTACGTAACTCAACATATTAATTTAAAGAGGACTTTATAAAGAGTTAGTACCTTTATTTGGAATTTCTCCAGAAGGAAAGAGATGTGGGTATCTCCTCTTCATATCCTCATCAGCCTCCCGATTAGCTTCCTCGACAAATTGGTTCCTCCATGAAACTTTGACTAATGCAACCTCATTGGTTCTTAACTTGCGAACCTGATGATCAATAACTTGAACGAGTATCTCCTCATAAGATAGGTTGTCCTTGATACCAGTATTCTCAGTAGGTACAATAAGTGAAGGATCTCCCATACACTTCTTCAACATAGAAATGTGGAATACCGAATGTACTACTGCTAATTCAGACGGTAGCTCCAACGCATAAGCTACATTTCTAATCCTCTTGGGTATCCTATAAGGGCAATGTTGATATACCATGAGTTTACGGTATTTTTAATGTATTTCACTTAAGAGTTGTGTGTGTCTATGCCTTTTTGTATTGGTTTTTATGTGTTTTTATTATGTTTTGCAGGAAAGATGTTTAGGCGTGGATGTAAAGAGACAACTGAAAGAAAAACAGAAAAGGGCATCTACGAAGGTGATCTACGGACCGTAGGTCCATTGACGCTCCGTAGATGGTGATTGTAGATCAACAGGCAAGGCATGAAAGGCGAATCAGGGAAATCTGACCAAGTGTGGAACCATGACGACCATTGACGGTCCGTAGATTGATACTGTGAGGGTTCCAGTGCCTGATTTTTGAAGAATCTAAGTGTGGAGCTACGGAGGGGGATTGACGGACCGTGGATTGATCTACGGTCCGTACTGATGTACTGTCGTTTGCTTCAAAGAAGCTGATTTTAGGAAGGCAAAATATTTTCTAAGTCCTGACTGACGGAAAGGACTCACGGACCGTGGATCTATTGACGGTCCGTGAGTCAGTCTCGTGAAATGAAGACGCGTGCCTGAACAAATTTTTCTTATTTTGTTTCCCTTATAATGTAGGACTTGTTTTATATAAATAGGGTATGTAAACCTCGTTTTTGGGGGTTAGACATTATTACTTTGAGTTTTACTTTGTGACTCTAGAGATTAATTTTTGCAACCCTAGCAATTCTTGATTTCCTAAGTTTGTTTTGAAGATTTTGGTTTTGCAATTCAAGTTGAATTTTTGGGTTTATTATTCTCTATTATTCTCAATTACGTAAGTTCATAATTCTTTCATCTAAAACAATGAATTGTGTTCATATGATTATGGGTAACTAAACTCCACAACTAAGGTTGTGGGAACCATAAGCGATTAACAAAATATGAATAGTGAATAAGCAATTCTTGAATAGTGTTGTTACATGCATTGATAATTCTTTCATTTAGAAGTCTTTTTAACGGTGGTCAACGTTAGAACTTGCCTTGTTGCTACTTGACGGACCAAGGAAGTAATCAACAAGAAAATAATTATCAACATAGATTTAGTGTGATACTATCTAATAGGCTAGTGTCGATTGGTGCGAAGTAATAACTAAGCCAAACATCGATTATGATGTCTAATATGAGGTAAAGGTAATGGTTAGTAAACTATACACATGTAGCCGGACCAAGGTGCGGGGTGAAATTCTCTAGATGCCCGACCAATGATTAATGATACCTAACTTATCACTTTGCATGTCATACACTAGGAAATGATTGCTATTACTAGAATTACCGCCTTATGAGCTTGTGGGGAACACGTATACCCTAGTTACTTCTCTCATCTTGATAACAACCAGAATTGACTTTTGTTTACTGATTACTTATTGAATTCTTACAAGTTATTTCATAAATCCCCCCCTTTAATTACTTGTTTCTGGAAGTAATTTGACTAAACAAATATAATTGTTGGTTAAAATTAAGTCTAAACCATTTTCCTCGTGTGATCGACCCCAACCTACAAGTTAGGTTCTTTACTTGAAAACAATCGCTTATGCTTCTTTAGGGAGGTGTAATTTGAGCGTATCAAATTTTGGCGCCGCTGCCGGGAAAATTGGCTTTTAGATAAATTTTAACTACAATATTGAACTTTAGTCAAATATTTCCTAATTTTACTTTTTCTTTTTGTTTTTTTCTCACTCAGGTTCTGACTCTAGTGTATGCCAAGAACACGGAGCCAAGGTGAACCACTTACTCCTTACGATCCAGAGTTAAACCGAACTTTGCGAAGAATGAACCAATGAGTTCCAGTTAATCCTATCAGAGTCAATCTAGGTGATGCATTTGAGTTGCAACATCCGAGGGTAGTTGGTGGGGACAACCAAGTTCCAGCTAAAAATCAATTGGGAGATGCATTGAGGGTGTAGGATCCACCAGGCCCAAGACAACATGACAACTATAGGGGCAACGTCAATATTGCTGACTCTCATGGACCTCTTGTCCTACTCCTTTTACCTCCAGGGCACACATTTGTGGTGACCAGTAGCTTGATGTAGATGCTTACAATGAGGGGCTTGTTCTCAGGATTGCCATCGGAGGACCCACGTGCTCACATAGCCAAGCTAAGGGTAGTTTGCAAAATTTGTGTAGGTAGACCAGACTTGGATATGGATGTCATCGGATTACAAGTGTTCCCTTTATCACTGACAGGCGATCTTGCAGTATAGTTCACTGAGCTTCCTTATAACTCAATTTATACATGGGAACAACTGAAGGATGTGTTCCTAGCAAGGTATTATCCAGTGTCTAAGAAGCTTAATCACAAAGATAGGGTCAACAATTTTGTGGCATTACCTGGAGAGTCTATGAGTAGCTCGTGGGACAGATTCAATGCGTTCGTAAAAGGTGTCCCGAATCACCGTATTGATGATGAGTCACTGAAGAAGTATTTCTATCGAGGTCAGGATGACAACAATAAAGCAATGCTTGATACTATTGCTGGAGGTTCATATGGTGAGTGCACATACGCACAAATTACAGAAAAGCGGTGAATGATCAGACGATGGGTTTTCGACCAAATGCCTTAGGAGACAACATGGAAAATTGGTGCCAAGGTCAAGGAAACCAAGGTAGGAACTATGGCAATTACAACTGAGAGGGTCACTATGTCCGGGATGGGAACTTTAATCGCGACAACAACTACAACCGGAACAACTATGGCAACAAAAATGATCGAGTTGGACCTTATGTTCCCCCTCAAAATTGGGAATCTGGTACTAGGGAAGCTGGAGGCAATATGGCGCGTATTGAAGATATGATGCAGAAGATGATGAGAAGGTTTGATGCAACTGATGAGAATGTAAAGGAGATGAAAAATGACTTATCTGGTATTGGTCAAAAGGTTGATGCCCATGCAGTGTCAATAAAACATCTAGAGAAGCAGATAACTCAGTTGTCTACTACAGTGAACCCACATCAACCTGGCACTCTTCCTAGCAACACCATCCAGAACCCAAAGAATGACGGTCATTGTATGGCAGTTGCTACTCGAGGGGGTAAGCAAACCATTGATCCACCTATGCCGTCTGTGGTGGATGTTGAGATTAGAAAAGATGATGGCATGGCAGAGGTTAGAGAAGAAGCTGAGAATGCGATCGAGAAAGAAGCGGAGGTATCTCAGAAAGTAGTCCCCATACCTAGACCTCCGCCACCTTTTCCACAGAGGTTAGTGAAGTAGACTGAAGATGGAAAATATCGCAGGTTTATTACTATGTTGAAGAAGCTTTCCATCAACGTTCTGTTGATAGAAGCTTTAGAGCAAATGGGTATGCGAAGTTTATGAAAGATATGGTGACAAAGAAGAGGTCTGTGAGTTTTAAAGATGATAATAGATTGCGGTATTGTAGCGCTATTGCTACAAGATCTCTTGTGCAAAAGAAGGAGGATCCAAGTGCTTTCACGATTCCATGTACTATCAGGTTGTTACACTTTGCTAAGGCATTGTGTGATCTTGGTGCTAGCATCAACCTCATGCCAATGTCTATTTATAAGAAGTTGGGTCTAGTGGACCCAAAGCCTACTACGATGCGGTTACTTATGGCTGATCGAACTGTGAAGAGACCCATTGGTGTACTCCATGATGTGCTAGTAAAAGTGGAGTTGTTCATCTTTCTGGCTGATTTTGTGATTCTTGACTGTGAGGTTGATTTTGAAGTTCCCAACATCCTTGGGAGACCATTCTTTGCCACAGGGCGTGCATTGGTTGATATGGAAAGGGGCAGATGAAGTTCAGACTGAACAATGAAGAAGCAACTTTCAATATTTGTAGATCCATGAAGCAGAGTGGTGAGCTCCAAATGGTATTTGCTATAACTTACAGAGTAGAGAGTGGAACAGAAGTGCAAATTGAAGAGCGACTAGGTGTTGAGGCACTAGCAGCAGTTATGATGAATTTTGATAGTGATGGTATTAAAGAGTATGATGAGTTGGTAGAGGCACTCGATAGATGCGAATATCGGTCAAAACCAATGAAGTATGAGTTAGACATGAAGAATCACGAGTCCTCACCCACAAGACCATCTATTGTGAAGGCACCAAAACTGGAGCTAAAGGCTCTATCGCCGCATTTGAGGTATGTATACTTGGGCAAAGATAATACCTTGTCGGTCATCATTGCGGTAGATTTAAATGCAAGACAAGTAGAGTGCTTAGTGACTGTGTTAAAGAGGTTCAAGCGAGCTATTGGGTGGACTATTACGAATATTATTGGGATTCCTTTCGGTATTTGTTCTCACAAAATCCAACTCATGCCAGATCACAAGCCTATTATCGAGCACCAGAGAAGATTAAATCCACCTATGCAAGAGGTAGTTAAAAGAAGATCATCAAGTGGTTGGATGCCGGAGTTATTTATCCCATTGGAAATAGTAGTTGGGTGTGTCATGTTCAGTGTGTGCCCAAGAAATGTGGGATTACTGTGGTTCCTAATGAGAGAAACGAGCTTGTTTCGATGCGGCTCATGACTGGATGGAGAGTCTGCATGGACTACTGAAAGTTAAATACTTGGACAGAAAAGGACCATTTCCCTATTCCATTCATGGATGAGATGTTGGATAGACTTGCTGGTAAGGGTTGGTATTGTTTTCTTGATGGTTACTCAGGCTACAATCAGATTTCTATAGCTCCAGAGGACCAAGAGAAGACCACATTCACTTACCCTTATGGGACTTTCGCTTTCAAACGGATGTCATTTGGGTTGTGCAATGCTCCAGCGACCTTCCAGCATTGTATGCTGTCGATATTCTCTGATATGGTGGAGGACACTATTGAAGTGTTCATGGATGATTTCTCTGTGGTAGGTGACTCTTTTGATCGATGTCTGGATCATTTGGCCGAGGTACTTAAAAGGTGTGAAGATTATAATCTGGTGCTAAATTGGGAGAAGTGACACTTTATGGTGAAAGAAGGAATAGTTTTGGGTCATCGGATTTCTGAGAAAGGTATTGAGGTTGATCGAGCAAAAGTAGAGGTAA